GAGATTATTCAACATATAGGATGATATTAATTTATAGTTCATTTATGAAAGTTAGTTAAGTAGTGAATGTCAATTGTTTACTCTAAATCAGTCTGTATTGACTAGTTTTTCATTCTGTTTTTTTTGTTATTTGACTAAATTGTAATCCAGAAGTAGATTAGAGTAGTTTAATTATGAATAGGCTCAGTCACTAGTCACTGAATTCACTAAACTCATATAAAAGGAGGATAACATTTTGTGTAGTCAAGTGAACCAAATATATTTTCAGATTCAATCATACTTTTTGTATGATACTGTAGTCAATGACCCAATCTTAATGATAGCTCAATTTCTACAAACATTATTTCATAATTGTCTTAAATTTCAATAAATTGTCTTCTCAAACACACACATATTGATTTGAGGCAACGGTTACAACAAACAGAGTAACTTCATCTTTATTATAAATATAGACGACCTTATTTCAATATTTTGGAAACAATTTATTGTCAATTTCCAAAATGTCAGATGGGATCTTATTATAGTAGTCTCAATCGTTGAGATCATGAGTCAGTTGAAGCTAGACCAACATGGAACACCTGGAAGCACTGGACTCCTCAACAGTGCGCACCCTTGACCAGCAGAATTCAACCGGGTCTCATGTGAGATAGTAACTGACTAATGACAATGGTGGATGTGTCGCTCAATTCCGTGGATTAGTTGACGTTAGATATCAACACCGTTGGATGCCAGCTCAGTGGTCTAGTGGTTAAGCGCTCGCTCACGAGACTAATGGGTTCTGGATTCGAATCTTTCGTGGCGAGATCGTGGACGCACACTTCTGAGGAGTCCCACAATAGCTTTAATAGACTCATAATCTCAACTATTGAAATTTCAAAAATGTAATAAGAAAACGCAATGGACTTCTACTTGAAGTTTGTGCTGATGATGTCGTTCACAAGAACGATCAAAGCTCCACGACTAAACCATCCAGCTCAGAGAACACAACTCCACGAAATTGAACTGTTAAGCGTGACATACTCATATGATAAACTTTAAACCATTAGAATGCACATTTACTCATTATGACATTTTATTCGAAAACCAAGAAGGTTCTAATGAATGATTATCAGTAAAAATATACTGAAGATAGATGGCATGTTGAAGAAAGAATAAGAAATCATAAGATAACTTCTAAAATTAATACTGATTTTCGGTTTACCATAGTGGATCAAAATTGAATAAGATTGTTCATACATTAAGTAGACATACATATTTTAATGGTTGAGGTTATCATACAACTAAGAATGAACCATCTAGGTCAATTTTATGACCAGTTTTATTCATATCCCTTGTACTGATGGAAGATGGTTGATTACCTGAATTAGTACTTTTTATCTATTTGACCTTTTTAATTTAAATGAATTTTTTGTTTCATTAATTACCATAAAGGTAAATGTACGATCTCATCATTCGAAATTTAATGCTTAAGTTCATCTTATTTACAAAATCAGCTTTCACTTTTCATTCGACTTTCCAATTTATCGGTTTGTTACATTTTATTTTTAAATAATCCACAGAGACAATATGAATTTTAGTCAGAATTTTGCATCTCCAGGGTTGTAAACTATAAATTTGCTTGGACAGTTTCTCTTTTTAGATCAGTAGCTGATAATACTCAGGTTGAGAAGTACTTACTTACTTACATACGTCTGTTACTCCCAATGGAGCATAGGCAGCCGACCAACATTCTCCAACCCATGCCCAACTCTCCCCCTTTATCCGAGCTTGGGACCGGCAGTAGCCTCAGTGGAGGCTCCAGGCGGCTTTCAGGTTGAGAAGTAACGAGTGTCAAATTAATCCATAAAATTGACTATACTTTACCAAATATCAAACTTGGAGTTACTATTTCTCTTTGAGCTTAAAGTTTCTACTTAGTAAGAAAGATGTTTACAATCTATTCTAATAAAAACTAACTAACCTGTTTCTAGAAATGTTTAAATTTTAACCTGACGATTATAAATCAGAGCAACCTTCAAATTTTAGAATCTTGACATTCTCTGCAATTTATCTGAATGGCTTGTCAAGTTTATGAATTAAGTAAATGGTTTCGAAATCCTCATTAACGATTGATAAGTTTCTTCACATATTCTGTATCAAATCAATAAACAATCAGGGTAAACTGATTCTTACCAGATACTTATATATATTTATGAAATATCTGTAGTATATAGCCTATCTGTTATCATCTTTAAGAGATCTAAAATCTAACACAAATTTCTTGGTGTGGATTTCGGAAACAGATAATTGGACTATTCTATGAATATACCTTAGAAGATGACTTAATTCGTCGAGGTTGTAGAAGGTTGGAAATTAGGATGATTCATCTCATATGTTATTATGTTCAAACTAAAATATTTGTAGGGAGTGTTCAGCTTAATATAATCACCTTCCGCAATGGCAAACGGAGAATACTTGAAAACTAACAAGCATTGGACAATCGTTCTATTCTGATACTTCTTGTCAACACTAGGTATTCACTGACCCACATAAAATTGAGTCTAAGACATGTAGGTTTGAATGTAAAAACACGGGACACTCAAAACATTTCGAAGGCTAGTCAGTTAGCTTTTATGTAAGACCATAGTTCAGTTCTACCACTGATAGCTAGATTTCACTGGTTCTATAGTGGATTTCAGTTTGTTGTGAAAAACAAGTTTAGCTTGAATGATCTCCACAAACTTCATCAACAACTCTTAGATGTCTGCCAACTAAATAGATTGTACAACATAGCTATGGATTTAATCATGTTGTAAGACAAAATACTTGAATTTTAGTAAAAGTGGACTCATCCATTGTCAGTAATGAAGCTGAAGTTTTGTAATATTTGTGTAATTAGTACCTGATGTACAATTAATAGATATCGTTAGTTAGTAGCTTCGATAAATAAACATCGAAAAATTTTTGTTGAGAGACATAAATACATATTCTCTTGTGATATGGATACTTTGAGACGTGTATTAAACAACCACTAAGTGTTTTTGGAAAGTCACTTCTAAAATTTCAGCATGAAGATCGATAGAATAGCAGAAATACTGATACGATATTGTAAGCACGAGATTGTGGAAATTGTTGATTTTCGTTAAAATCATGAACTGATCAATGTTAAACCATCATAGAAAACTTGGAATCACCGAACGATTTTTTCATTGTAGTATGGGGCTCATTATCAGTGAGCACCCAAGACCGGGCTCATGAGAAAGGAACACAGAACCTTCGGTCTCACTCAAACACCTTACCTCTAGACCACTAGACCAGCATACAACACAACTCTGATGGTTCCCATACTAGAACAAAACAGTTATCAATTGCTTCCAGGTGTTCAGCGATGGTCTAACAATGATTGGTTCATGGTTTCAATGATAAAATATTGTTAAGTGTACACTAATTCCTAATGATTCACCAGTCAGTATTTTCATTCAGATAAAACAACATATTTGATCGGGTTATTCTTAACTAACCGCTCAATTAATTCTGTTTTATTTTGGGGTTAGCAATCTATGGACAACATGAAATATTGGACAAACTACTAGATGAATTCGATGTAAGTTACCAAATCTACTGATGTTTTCGGTATGGAGCGATTTGTTTCATTTGAAAAAAACTTCCGATACGATGAAGCCCGACACTCTGAATTAACATTTTACTTATTTTTAGTACATGTATTTACAATAATTCTATGAAACCGAAGTTGCTTGTTGTCTTAAATAATTTTTGAAACATAACATGTCTACTTTTTTATTTTAGTAGTTTATTTTAACTTTCCAAAATAAATGTGATGGTTCAGTAAATAAATACCAAAGTACAGTCCTGACAAAAGTTCGATATTCATAGACTTGCTTATTTACGTACAAATGATCGCAAACTTATTAATTTAATTAAGACATGAAACATTTGAGTGACTTCAGCTAGGAAATTGTGTTTATTTTGAAATATATTTTAAAAATGAGAAAAATTCAACTGCTAGTAACCAGGATCACTGTTGTCAGTATGCTGTTGTGGAGATTGTTGGATTTCTTTCAAATCATGATCCTATTTCCACATCTCAGTGACGAGCTTCGCGATGTAGCTTCTGGAGATCTAGTGAAAAGCCGTGACCAGTACAGTTCAGTTTTGTCGGGTATGAGGCAGTTACCACTGAAGACACTGGAAGATGGACATTAACAATGACATCGTTGGAAGTCAGCCCAGCAGTCTTGAGTTTAAGTATTCACTCGGCACAGACGGTCATGGGTTCGAGTCCCACGTGCGGGGTCGTGGACGTGCTGCTGAGGAGTTCCATACTGAGACGAAACAACTGTCCAGTGATTCTAGGAGTTCAATAAAGTTCCAACTTAGAAATCATCACCATTGCTGAGAAACAAACAGTCTACTAAATTAAGATAAACCATTCCTTAGTTCCTGAAGTTTTCAAATAACAATCAAAGAAAGTTGCAAGACTGGTATTTTGCCAACGTTTGTTAACACTAGCAAAGAGTTTACTAATAGTCACAATGAAAAGGCATTAATTGAAGTCTATTAATGTCACTTCGTTAAGAGTACATATCAGCTAGTTGATAAACAGATTAAGTGTTATAAATATGAAAAAATAACCAAACCCATCACAATTAAACTGATATTTATATTCAGAGAATGGTTTTGTGGATTTTATAGTGAATACGTACTGCTGAGGAGTATCATAGTAGAACGAAACAGCCGTCCAGTGCTTCCAGGTTTTCCATGATGGTACAACCTTAATTGACGCATGAATTCAACTTTCAAATTGATATTTATATGATCATTTATCTAAGATATTCACTATAAACTTAGATGAAATCAGAATCTAATAAATGGGTTTGATATAAATAGAACTGAAACTCATTCATTCAGTCAAATAATCATAACTCTTGATTTAATTATCAACTACTATTTATCAGCTTTATTGTTCTTTGCTAATATTAACCAAATGCATTTGTTGTAGTATGAATTATGTTATCAGAAATATTTTAATATTTAGTGTCTTTCAATCAATAAAGCTTGATCAGGTAACATTGTATTCAGATGAATTGACTGGAATGATGCCTATACATGCAGCTGCAGCTTGGGGAAATCCAAAATGTTTGGAAGTGAGTTATATATTATTTATACTTCAATTCCTGATAGTCATGTATAATGCTTTTCTACTATATTAGCACTTCGAAAATGTGAGGATTTTACTTTATAGAATGTAGAGTTGTAGTGACCTACTTTTATCAAGAGAACGCGATTGGTTTAATGGAAATAATTATTATTATAACCAATTGTACGAGTGATTCTTTTACTGTACTTGTTTGTTTAACTGTACTAAAGACATTCTTCCTTTCGTTGACTGTGACTTTGCACGGATTCGGTTACGCTCAGTAACCACACTTGTACTCCTTTGGCACGATCTCGGTATTCTTTCGATACCACGAGATCGCCAACAAATACATCTTGCCTACAGCCATCAACTGCCTTCTGATATTTGGCCTACAAGGGATCTTATCGGTTAACTGACACGCAGTCTTCCCTTAGTGTTGATCATAGTCAACCGCAACTCGATGCCATACAACAGAGTAATAAAGTTGCTTGACACAAACAGATTTCGTATTTGTTTCACAGAACTAAACAGAGTAGTTTAATACTTCCGAATCATATAGATTTAGGTTGAATACAATTAGCTGGAATAGTACTGAAATGAGAGAGATAATGAATTTGGAAGTTGAGTAAAGATCTATCCAAATTATAAAACAATTTTTCAGTAGTAAATGAGTAATATAATTAGTGGGATCAGTCTAGTCAGTTCTTTCTTCTTTTTGTTTTCTTCAGATCTATTCAGAAAACTGTTCATGTAATTAGATCTCTAGAATCTTGAACATTAACGTACTCACAATCGTTATTCTTAACATTTTTAGACCACAAAGTGTTTGATGTACTTCATTTTGATTCTGAATGTTTTAAGAATAGAGCAAAAATTTTTTGATTGCTTTACAGTTCCTATAACAATATTCAATTGTTTATACAACTAAGGTAACTCTTGAAGGTGGCAGCATAGAAACAATAATTTCTCATAGAACAACAAACAATATTCAACTCTCATGAAATGATAATTTCACTTTTTGATTTTAAGCTTTTTATCTCTTTCACATTTTTGGTTTTGATTGTTGATAAGTCTTGTCGATTGAACGCTATATTTGTTCCACAAGCTAGAACTATACAGCGACCTGAACACCAGAAAGAAGACGAAAAGTATGAGAGAGACACTTTACTCCAAGGTTCTTTTTTGTACAGAAAACATGGGTATTTATAGATGTTAACGTTTGTTAAATCAACATCATATTTTGGCCAATCCGTTAACGACATATTATGCTACTGACCAGTAGTAGCACGCCACGTTGGAATTCTAGAATGCTCCATCATGCTCTGATTGGTTAGAACTCTTCGGATCGTTTTGGACCTCTGGAAGCTCCGTTGAAGTTCTCCGAAAGCCGACTCAACAATTTTATTGTCACCAAGTTTAACAATTTGATTGAATCATACAGGTTTTCACAAATCGGTATACAGACTTTTCAGATATAGTCATCCCTAAGATTGTATCCACAATGTGACTTGAGCAAGTCATAGTTATTAAAATGTCACTTGTTATTGTCTATATGAATTTTCACTTAGAATTATTAATAAACCTTACTGACTATCTATTAAATGTTGTAGCATTGTGCTCCTATCAATTAGAGAACAATGATTTATCGACCGGACCCATGAGGCATAAACCCGTATGAGCAGTCTGGAGTACTTATCGGTCCTGCTTACTGCCTAGCCCAGCCAGTTAAGTCCAGAACACCAATCTCAGCCTCAGAGATATGAATCATTTATTCCAAACACACTGGGTTTATATACTAACCAGACAGAACACATCGTACCATAAAAGGGAAAATAACATTTGTTGAAGATTTAGCCAAATGTAGCTGTGAATGAGGAAGATAGTAATTGATAGACTGGGTATAACTCAAGAATGGTAAATCGTATAATAATAGTTCATAGGTCAAAATAAAGTTTGTAATAAGAGAAACATGAATATAGATAGTTTATTTGCTTACCAATTATACAGTAAAAATTTGTGTATCGTATTTGTTCATAAATAGTTCTCAAAAGTTACCACCCACTATTCTCGTCGCGATATAACACTATCCAGTGAAATTTTGACTGTTTTTTTTCAAGCTAATCCACATATATGTTTTAAGAATGAAATGAATACTTACCTGTTCAATGAACTGTATTTTAGAAGGACTATTTACCATAGAATAGGTCTTCTAAAGGAATTCCTTAGCTTGAGATAATATCTTATAGGAAATATTATATATTTTTTCAAGTTTCATTATATGTTCCATATTTTCAGGTTACTTTACGGACTAGTTTGTTATGTTGTCAAAATGCCACTAGGAAAAAAATGTAAAGATTCTGTTCTTCACAGAGTTGTGTGATTGATCGTAATATCATGTTGATTCATTGTAATTGGAAATGAAATCTTAAACTTTGCCAATCATTTCTCCTTAACAATGAACGTGTAAACAATAATAAATTCTTGTTTAAGATCAATGAATTAGTTTACATATAACTTTTCATCTTTTCATTTATTACATACATGATTCAATACTTTAAAAGTATTTTACCATTTTCTACTCCCATATATTCAGGTACTTGTCCGACATGGCTGTAATGTGAATCAACTGGACTCGATGAACTGTTCACCTGTTCACCATGCAGCAAGAAATGGACATAATGGTAAGATAATATATCAGTTTGATAATGAAATGTGTAGATATTCATTTAAGGATTCTTATTAATCTGTTATAGAATTGTTTTACAATAACATGAGCAACAGTTTTTGTTTTCTGGGTAGTGAGTAGTGGATATGAAAAGATCATCTAGATGATCAACCAGATAATGAGCAAATAAGGACATTTTAATTTAGATTATATATATGTATATATATTCAAAACCTAAATATTCTTAGTAAAATACCTGTTTTCGTCACGAACTGAAACCATCAGAAAGATATAAACCATTTTTTAAAATAAAAAGGTATAATCTAAGTTTGAACAATCACTCTCTTTATTTTCAATTTGTTCACAATGTATACATCTTCTTCTGCTTGTTTTCGCAATAAATCTTGGTTATGTGTAACCAATTAACAGTTTTCAGTATCCAATGTATCCATGGTAACTCTAACATCTTGTTGTTCTAATCGAGTTGATGAAACTTTAGAATAATTTTCAGTAATAACACTAAAATAACTCTAGTCACAATATGAGCTTTACCTATACATCAGAGAATCTGTACTGTTTACTGTGAATGAAGTATGATGATGTTGTCCATTGGATAGATTTGACGAGCACTACAACACTATATAGAAACGTGTGACCTAAATAATGGACACCGTACAACATTATTGCAGATACTTTAAATCTTTATAAATCCTCATGCTTGATATTACATAACAGATTTATTAAGTTATGGTGCTAAGGTCTTCAATTCAAGCATAATCGTTTACAAACTCTTCTTCCACTTATAAAGTGTGCGTAATGTTTATTAGAAGTAGGAACAGTAACTTGTATCAAATTTATCATATTTCCCTACAAGTTAAGTGATGTACGAAGAATAGTTTTAAATCTAGAAGAAAGTATCAATAACACAACAAATAGGTTTACGTGAGATCTCTCATATTTCATTTATACAATTGATTGCTCCCAATAAAAATAATTTCATGACTCGAAATAGTTGTTCGAGAGACATTTTATGTTCATCATGTTAGATCAGATGTCAGTCTATTTGAACTAACGTTTTATTGATCAGTATGTTGTTGTGGAGATTGTTGGATTTCTTTCAAATCATGATCCTATTTCCACATCTCAGTGACGAGCTTCGCGATGTAGCTTCTGGAGATCTAGTGAAAAGCCGTGACCAGTACAGTTCAGTTTTGTCGGGTATGAGGCAGTTACCACTGAAGACACTGGAAGATGGACATTAACAATGACATCGTTGGAAGTCAGCCCAGCAGTCTTGAGTTTAAGTATTCACTCGGCACAGACGGTCATGGGTTCGAGTCCCACGTGCGGGGTCGTGGACGTGCTGCTGAGGAGTTCCATACTGAGACGAAACAACTGTCCAGTGATTCTAGGAGTTCAATAAAGTTCCAACTTAGAAATCATCACCATTGCTGAGAAACAAACAGTCTACTAAATTAAGATAAACCATTCCTTAGTTCCTGAAGTTTTCAAATAACAATCAAAGAAAGTTGCAAGACTGGTATTTTGCCAACGTTTGTTAACACTAGCAAAGAGTTTACTAATAGTCACAATGAAAAGGCATTAAAAGACTAGTCTTTTAATATGACGAGGATCTTTAAACGATGAAAAGGCATTAATTGAAGTCTATCAATGTCACTTCATTAAGAGTATATATCAGCTAGTTGATAAACAGATTAAGTGTTATAAATATGAAAAAATAACCAAACCCATCACAATTAAACTGATATTTATATTCAGAGAATGGTTTTGTGGATTTTATAGTGAATACGTACTGCTGAGGAGTATCATAGTAGAACGAAACGGCCGTTCAGTGCTTCCAGGTTTTCCATGGTAGTGTAGCTTTAATTAACTCATGAACTCAACCATTAAATTACTATAATATCCTTAAAACCCCTTTCTGATTATAATTCTTTATAAGACTAAATTCGACCTGTTCATATAAGCATTTGTTTGATGTGAATATTGCTGTAAAATATCCCATTATTTGCTCATATTCTTTACTATGTTCGACTTATCTAGTCTAATTCGTTCATAATTTTCAGAAACGGTAGAATGGCTTATGAAGAATGGAGCAAGTCTTGTGGAATTAAATCTTTTTGGTCAGAAACCAGCAGATTTAGCTTTAGCTAATAATTTCCCTGATTTGGCAGATGTAATTCGTAGAGAAGGTTAGGTCATTTTTTACATTATATTAAAATGATTAATTCATGTTATTCATACAACGTTCGTTTTTTACTTTTTATTTACTTACGCCTGTGACCTCCAGTGAAGCATAGGCCACTGACCAGTATTCTTCAAACCACTCTATCATGGGTCTTCCTTTCCAGTTCTATTTTATTGTTGTTGATTCTTCTTATGTCTACTTCTATTTCTCGGCGTAATGTGTTTTCTGATCTTAGTTTTCCCCTTTGGCGTTGAGGATTCCAAGTGACGGCTTGCCTTATGACACAGTTAGGTGTTTTCCTTAATGTCATATCCACTTCCACCACTTCTTCCTGATTTCTTCCTCCGCTGGAATCTGGTTTGTACTCTCCCACATTAAGTTGTCGCTGATAGTGTCTTGTCAACTTCTATGCTATACATATCGATAGTCGATAATATTAAAAAACAATTGTGACTTTTATAAAGTTTCTATCACAACTCTTGAATCATGTCGGTTATCACAGTTAACATAACACAGTGTTTTAGCTATTTGAATGTTATAGTATATTCAGTTGAAAAATAAGGATTCAAGGATATAGAATGAAATTTTCCAATGAAACGAATGTTCAACATTCCACGAAATATTATGTCGACAATATAATTTAAAATAGTTAAGGAATCCTAACCTCTGTGTAGCTTAAGCATTAAACTACATAAACTATTTACATTCATATTATCTAGAAGAAATCATATTTCGTGTTTACATCAAAATCTCTTTCAATCATTCTAGAACTTTTACCTAAGAATATTAAACGAACTTTGGAGCCATATTCTTCTTTTAAAATGACACAAGCTGAATAGATGCATTCAAAAACATTCAGCATGTAATTTATAATAAAACACTAAATATCAATATATAGCGTACATTGACAGTATCTGTAGACCTAGTTCCTCTTCACAGTAACCTACAACAATAGATTTAAAAAATTCTGTTAGCAGAAGTAAAATGAGTCAATGGTCATTGTTCATTCTCTTCACAAACTTCTGTATTATGATTGTTAAGTTTGTCTTATATTGTTCCTACTCGCTCCTATTCCACTCTTTTGTATATTGTTTTATACTACTTATTTACATTCAGTAAGCAGTTTTATGCCCAACAATTTTCACACTCATGTTGTAACGCAAGTTGTAGTGTAATATTCTGAAATCTTCACATATACTTATAACGTTTATTGTACTTGTCATTGTATTTATCATTATAATTACTGTACCTTAATCTCTGTAGCGGTTATTCACAGTTTTGTGAATTTGTTTAAACGCAACAGCTTCCATAATGTTTTGCTCTTGGTTCGGGTTTCGGCTGTTCATAAACTGTTATCAAATCTAGACACAGCAATTAGCTGTCCTTTGTACTATCGTATGTTGTAATTATTCTTTGTGTTACTATTGCAGAAAGCCTTTTTGTTTTCACATAGGGAAGACGCGTTTAAACGCCCCAGACACCTCAAGAGTTGAGGTTTGTAACTAAAATTTGTGCATTATTCAATAAAGAACCGCTATTGCAGACAAATCTCAGCCGGGTGACCTAGAAACTTCGATAGATCTAACAATGATGTGGTTATTTTTATCAAAAATTAATTTACTATTCACAACTAATTATACATTGGGGGAATGACAAGGTTCAAATTTCACTTAGGATATAATGAAGTACAGAAAAGAATAGATGAAGAAAGGAAAAAAACCATATTGAAGCGTGAAACTGTAGATGTCGTCATTACTGAAGATTCGGACAATATTCTCATTAACTGTTTCAATGACTATTTTACAATTATACTGTAAGCTAATGTATGCAACATAATCTATGTCTCGTGAGATATTTTTGTGGCGGTGGTGGTAGTGGGGTTGGTGAGAGTAAATTACTGCTAAATTGCAGACGCCAAAAATGATTAATCAATATAAAGTTGTCATGATTTATGTTGGGGAGGTTAGATCCCCAGAACTCACTTGAAAAAGGACCGAATTTTGTAATTTACTTAGAAAATTTGAATTTCTTTGTTTTCCCGCCAAAGGCGCTCTTGTCACCTTCATGTCGTATTTCCCACTGGGAAATATCCTAAGTGCTATTGGTTCGTTGTGTCCTTTAGTATGCTATTTGGTAACTCTCCCCAAGGACGGTTTTGCATTGTATGTATACGTTTTGATTTGTGTTTGTTGTTATCGCTCTTTTCTGGCTGTTTGCGGAATATACTTCACCATTTCAATCTTGGACTTCTCCCTCTAGTTAGCGGAGCTGGGATGCATCAATAGCTAGCTTACTGGTCCTTGGTCACCGAGTCTTGTTCTCGTTTGCCGATTAAGTGAACTCGTGATAGCTTCAAACCTAGAAAGCCTATCGATTCTTTGAATCCTTGATTCTTCGTTCCGTTCCGAGTAAGACGAATCAGTAGTAGCATTCAAATTAAAGAACATAACAATTTATAAAATACTATAATCACAATGATATTTCAATAATATAAAGACATCTAGATTCAAATCTGATCTTATTCAGTGAGTTCTTTCAACTTTTAATCAGTTGTCTAATGACATATTTACATGTTTTACACTACAATAAATAACTTTTAATATTGAATTTCTCTTTAATTTTCTCCGTATTTCTATTGTGTTTTTTTTAAATTTTCCCTAACAGCAAAAAAGCAATTAAAAGAATTGGAATCAAAACCACTACATCCAAGTGATTCCATTGAATTATTATAAAAAGAAAACTGAAGATCATTGATTCATCTCATAACATTTCAAAATGAATTCCAATGTTGAATATAATGCTATTATTCATTAAATAAAACAAATTTATAACATTGCACAAATATTATAGAAAAACTGTGCTTTTACTAGAAGTTTTTTGAACTTACTAACAATTTGATTGGTCCCCCCGGTCTATCACATTTTCCGGACATTTCATGTACCTAACTTAATTGTTGCTCTGGTTGTTAGAAGAAGCATCGACCTCATAGCTTCCGAAGAATGACGGATCTGACTATGAGACATAACAATTTTTCTGATTGAAGATCCTTCAACTCCGAGGGTACAGTTAAGATGGTTTAATTTGTCTATTTTGATTAGCGATCGTTCAGTAACATTATTTTCTACGGGATGGGGTTGCTGCATTCATATCCAACTCTACTCCTTTACCCTGGCTTGAAATTGGCATTAACCCTAGGAGAGCTACAGGCGGAGTTAGAACTTTTTGAAACTTATTTGAAGAATATCTGCGCAACCGAACAAAACTTTGGGTATAGAAATGAAATGATGACTTTCCCATAGTTGATATAAAACTATACTCTTGATTAGCTTGAATAAAGATCTTGAATATATGGCCTCATGTAACGTTCATTAATTTATAAACTAAATTCTTATGGTATAACTTTAGGCTATCCAAGTGTTTTATATGTAGATTTAAAAATGACACGATTTGAAAATGTTTGTATTTTTATTGTCTACACTGAAATCTTCTAGAATAGATCAACAATAAATTGGGGATCGATATATGCCTTATGTTTGCATTAGATCCATAAGCTCTGAACTGAAAGTAAGATCCATCTTGTTTACTCTGGAAAGTTACATAGAAAAATTAACTTCGTCTTAACACTAATTGATATTTGTCCGAATAAAAACGTCGACTTAGTCCACTTTTAATGATGAAAAAATCCTCTATTGGAAAATGATCCAAGGATGAAATACTTTGTTAGAAACAAAATGGTGATCAAGTGAAACGAATGCTCCAGTGGTTAATTAGTATGTATACAAGAGACTTGGTTTCCTCTTCTCAAGGATTTACATAGACCTTATTGCTGGGCTCAAATTACCTAACACACAATAAATGAAGTTGAAACTTTACGCCATGTATCTACTAAGCCATTAAACCCAGATTTTTGCAGAAATAAAACGTCTAGATATTTTAACACTATTTTCTTACTAAAAAATTAACCCACTCAGTGAACAATCAATTGTAAATACATCTAAGTCCTACAGAAAGTCAGTCGTGGTCCGGATAGCTCAGTGGTAACGTATCTGACTGTGAAGCTGGATGACACGGGGTTGACTCCATCAGGGTGCACCAGTTCCCTCAGGTACACTTTGCTGACGAGTGTCAATGTTATATGACTTTATATTTTATGTTACATATTTGACATTGCTCTAGTAAATTTAACAGAAAAGTGACACTCAAAAACTTCAGTACACTGAACTCTGACAGTGATGCATACTATAATTTAGAAACCCATTTATTCAATTAATAATATTAATTTTGGTATCCTATTCATCATAAATAAACAAGTAACTTTATTGAATCTGTTATAAGAGTGCCCTTTTAAAAGATGCTTTAGATGCTGATGGCTTTCTGGATGACATTATCATTAAGAGAAAGACTATGTACCCTCTCAGAGTAGATTCCTTAGTTACCAATAATCGGTTAAACGTTAGCGTTCAAAAGTTGACAAACAGAACTCAAAAGATTTAATTTCGTTTAATTTTTTACTAGTTCTTTTTATTGACATAATAATTTAGCAACTGTCTCTAGTCAAATTAAGAAATAAAAATTTCAGTATGGCCTCCAAAGTTTTTGGCGTTGGTGTTTCCTCTCAGCTAGATAGTTTGATTCCAGCGATTTAATTGTCATTCTAGGAAACCGTTTTTGTGTTTAACTTTACATGAAATAGGCATGAAAGTTGTTATTCAGAATGACATTGAACTTTCAGCAATTAAATAATCTAGTTAAGAAAACATAATTCCACCACAAGTACACATCAGAGCTGCAAATCTCCATTAATTCATCTCTTAAGGTGCTGAATTTCCATACGGAAAATTAATTAGATGTTCATATACATTTATAAATTCCTATCAGTATTGAGTTGTGGAGATTATTACATTCTTGATTGAGACCGTGAACCGGTTGGTGTTAGACCACAATTGAAAACATGAAAGCACTGGACGGCCGTTTCGTTCTATTGTGGGTCCCCTCAGCTGTGCGCATCCACGATCCTGGTTGTAGAATTAGAACCTAGGGCCTTCAGTCTCGCGCGCAAACACTTAACCTACTAGACCACTGAGTCGGCATCCAATGGTGTTAATGTCTAACCTCACCAATCCACGAAATTGTGCGACCAGCTTCAATTGTACTGAGGTAGATATCTGTCTCTACCCAACATAGGTTAGCTCTACTAATCACCGCTCCTCACTAGAACTCCGATATTTCCTTCACGAAGCTAGTCACCAGTGAGCACATGGTAATTATCAATATTGGGTTGTAGAGATTATTAAGTTTTTGATTGAGATCATGAACCGATTGTTATAAAGAATGAGATGACGTTCGTTTTGAGTTGGTTTCTTGCAAACGCTTCCCTCATCTCAAAATTCCATCCAACTGATTAACAAGAAAATCGTTTCGTTCAACTAATGAAACTGGAACACTTCAATTGAGTTGTTATTAAACAAATGATACTGGATCCTCAATATTTCTATAGGTTATATTAAACCGAGTTCTATGTATGTGGTCTAAAGTACTACACTGGGTATTAAATTGTATTTTATTCATTGTCGGACATAATCTAAACACTAAAACGTGGCCAAACATAAAGTTTCATGTTTATGCATATGAAGAAAGATCCCTTAAAATTATTCTCATTTATTTATAAATCACATTTTACACTTTACTACTATCATTAATTTAAGTAGAAACCTGAGAAAAGATAGAAAAAATTGTACACCTGAAAAGTAATATGAATATGATTTTCCATTTTGGTTACTACAGACACTAAATACATAATTATTAGACAAAACAAGAACATGAAAACCAAATTTTGGTAATGTAAACAAACTATTTATTTATTCATTTTTATCCAAGGTCAAGTTGATTCAAGTGACATAATGAAATAAGAAATAAATAAAAATGAAACATTAAGACATGTGAATTATTGTAGTAATGAATAATTAATAATTAGAATCATGTTTAAGGTATGGAATAAGAAGAAGAAGAAGAAGACAAAGAATAAGAATAAGACGAAGAAGAAATGACTAGTTCAACTGAGGTCATCATGAATCAAAAGAACAGCAACAAAAAGGTTTAATGATGTCGTAAAAATAGTCTGCTAAACATCAAAATATTTGCCTCGAGTAATTCTCTTTTTCTTTCTTCTTCTTCTTCAACAAATGGAATAATTTAGGCGTATACATGAGACCGCAGACAAAACATAACTTATGGACAAAGGACATGAAGTGTTATGTCAACAACCACCACCACCACAACAACAACAAAAACTATTTGTTTTATCACCATGATCACGTTAAATGTAAACATTTCACCTCACTATTTTTGTTTTTCTAAAAATATTAAACTATATAAATAAACTAATTAGGAAATAATGTTTTATTCAGAAGTTGGTATACCGCAGTTTCTATAATTGAAACAATTGGTAATTCAGTCTATAAAATAAATTTATTAAGTCAGTATTTGGATTCCATATTCCTGATACATGCATGAATTATAACTCTGTTAGATTTAATGATGTAGGGTAAAAATAAACATTTCATAGAAGTAATCTAATGGTTTTGTAAACGAACGAATAATAATGAGTTGAACTTACTGAATTTGTAATTGACTAATCCAATTTTCGGATTTGTTGAATTACAGGTTCATATTCTTCAAGATTTTGTTATTTACAGTGGGAACTTTTATTAAAAAGAAATAAGTGATGTATTAGATGATTGTATTCTGTCTTTTCTAAACACATGAATATGACAACACGCATAGACTTTAACCCTAAACCTAACACTGATGAGTTCAACAAAGCAACTTATTTTAGTCAAATCTGATGCTTGTTGAACAAAATAGATAAAACAAATATGGTTTATTCTTAACATACTAGTTACTGATGAAGAGGAACTAATCATCCGTTTATGATTTGTGATACTCTATCAGTATGTAAAAAAGAACCCAGATATCAGCGAATTTACAATTGAGTTTAATGTAAAGAACATAGAAATCTAGAGTTTTCCAGTATTCATTTGTACTTGTGTACAAAGGTCGATCAATTGTTGATTGATAAATCCAATTTCCTTTTAAAAGTATTTTATAGTTTTATCCTTCAATACTGTCCGAAAGTTAATTTCGTCAAAAAATTGATGACATCTAAAAAATCGTTGAAAATCATAAATTCCTGGACAGTTGTGTTAGAAGTTTACGTTTATTGGCTGAAGTTAGACATTCACACCGCTGGATGCCGACTCAGTGATCTAGATGTTAAGTGCTCGCGCGCGAGACCGAAGATCTTGGGTTCGTGGATATGCACTGATGAAGAGTCTCATACTAGGATGAAATGGTCATCCAGTGCTCTCACGTTTTCCATAGTGGTCTAGCTTTAATTGACTCATGAACTCAACTATTAAATTTACATGTTTCAAACGAGCTCATTCTAACTAATCATGATCAATCACATAGAAATTATTCTGCTAAGAATTATAGTTTTGATTAGCATACCATGGAAACTTGTAAATAAAGTGTTAAAAATGATAATAGAATATTGAAATTTCCTTTAAAATGCATTGGTAACGTATTATGAATGATCTATAGAGATAAAGAAACTGTGGAGGCCCGCAGTTTGATTTTGTCTTCATTTATATCGACGATATTCGTTGAAGGGCTCACCATTTTAGTGGCCCGTGGATCTGACTCCTATTTAGATCGTATAAATGTTTGTTAT